ATCATCAGAACATTCGTTACCTATATAGTCTTGCATGCGATCATTATAAGAGACACCAAGATTTGTGATAAATCGGTTATCAAGATGTTTCATAATCAACTCATCATCAAAGATTTTTGGATTCGATGCCCCATTACGTGGTATTGCTAACATGTTAGGACATGGATTTGTTACAATAGTTGCCATATGTGCTGCCCAAGATGTAGTAGTAGTATCAGGTCGTCTCTGGACATGAATGTTATGATAATCATCAACATTCAACATGAATGCACTTTTTGAATATTTTGTAAGTGCATCCTCTACATATTTTTCATGTTCATCTGCAACTTGCTTCTTTTTACGATCTACTGCTCTTGATGTTGTGGTTGCTCCAAGGTTCGCCATTGTATTTAGGCCTTCATTACTTGTACCTACCGAATCTAAATAGAATGCAAGGTCAAACTTAAAAGAATTAATTTTTGTATTGTTTAATGAAGCAAGAAGATAACATATGAACACCATTAATCTCTTCATACGGTCCATCGTTTGTTCATTACGTTCAAATGGACGAGCTGCTAAATATAATTGGTCAAAAAACCCCTTCAAGCTTGGTTCTATTTCTTGAAGCAACCTTCGCATTTCATCATATTCATATATAGGACCTTCTTTATTATTATATTCTCTTTCATAAAAGATTTTAGCAATCATCTTGATGGCTCTAGTGAAATCAATCTTTTCACTTACCTCTTCCTCTTCCTCATCTGTAGTTTTTACTTGCCTAGATCCCCTTTTTAAAGGATTTTCTACGAAATTCATGTAACAAATGTTACATAAAACAACACCTTCTGTCCACATTACCTTCACTAAGTTGTTGTTCTCAGCTTCTTTCCATTTATTGCCTTTCAGTTGACGAAATTTAGCTGATTTAATGGTTTTACATTCTGTGCAATGTTTAATTTCAGACATTTTTTCTTCAAGTAAATCATATTATGAAAGTTGTGGGATTCAAAGGGATTCAAAAGATATGTTAACAACAAAGTGTAAAGCTTCAAATTTGTGTAATTATTTGCACATGATTTATTGTAAGAATGGGCTATGTAATACCCTTGTAAAAGTATTTTAAACTGTATAAAAAAAATTGAAATCAATTGTGAACATCCTTCCCTTATATAGGACGTTCTCTCCTGTTCCATCCTGCTTGGGATATATAAGAATAAATGCTATAATTAGCTAACAATGGTGAAATATATTTCATTGAAAATACTAAGTATAGATAAATGTATCATCGCCAAATAAAGATGATGTAATGGCATAAAATTGATGGATGATATATATATAAAAATGTTTATTTATTTTGTAAAGATTGTCCAGACTGTGGCAGGAGAAGCGGTTCAGATTTACCCATCCACAGTATGATAACAATTAAAACAGATCAGGATACTTAAAATTATTAATCCATTATTTATTATTCATAAATATTAAATATATAACAAGACACAATTGTCTATCTATTATTATCCTTATCAATTATTAATTAGTTGTTTCTATATCTTTTGTTTACTGATGTTATCAGAATGCAGTAAATAAGATAACTACAAAAACAAATCTGAATTGCCATATATATCTTATCTCTATTATTCATTAACTTCAACAAATTTATTAACTCTTAAATTATAACAGGAATCTTAATCTTTTAATCTTACCATTTATTTTAAATTCTTTGAAATTTATTCAAAATTAAGCATCAAAAATCATCTATAAAAATGCAAAAGTCTAAACCTAGCAAAAGTTCTACATCTTTCGGGATCATTCTTTGGGATCATAATTAGAACAATAAATAAACACTAATATTCTCCAACCTTTTTCAAATATTATTTTATCCATTATTTCTATCATTGATTATACTTCAAATAACACAAAAGATCAGGATAACTTTCGGATTGACCTTGGAACATGTAATGGTGTGATTGGTCCAGTCTTGGGTTCCACACAATCACTGGCAATTTTTTATCTTGGATTTTTTTGATTCAATTTATTATATATCTTGGTTAAAAAAAAATAAAAATAAAAAAATATGATATTGCTATTTAATACTTTCCTCATGTGTGAATTCCTTTCTCCTCACATCCATCACAATGATTATTCAATACATTTGAAATTATCATTGACATAACAAACAATTGCATTACCCAAGTAATAACAATACCAAGGCCATGAAGAAACGAAACTTTTAACAATGCCTGTCTACCAAGATCTCTGGAGTTCGCAAGAATAAAAAAAATAAATGGGGAGGATCAAAAAAAGTATTATAGCTCCCATTGTATAGTTCCTTAAAATGAATAATAAATCTGATATTTGATCACAGGTGTCAGATTTAATTAAAATTTTCCCATCACAAACATGTCAACAGGTGCTTTCACATGCCTCATAACCATGGAATTTTTCTCCACAGGTAAGGTGAAAACATGTTGGAAGGCTTTAGACAAAACTTTTCTTATCTTACTCTCAGACCAGGCTTGGCTGTTATCAAATGGGCATTGATCACTGATGAAGATCGGCATTTGTGTGATGGCTGCTTTGTGTTATACCCCTCTCTAGAATAAAGTTGGTGTTAAGGCTGGTACAAAATTCTGCAACTCAGGAGGTTGCAACCTAGGTTGCTGTTTTGGATTTTCCCTAAATTTAGGCACACCAACAACCCTACCCCATTTAAATGACAAGTTCAGTTGGTCAAATAAAAATTAAAGAAACAGAAAATTTATGAAAATGATTAATTTATAACATACCAAACAAAATCTGATCCATTTTATTTTACAGCCTTCCTCTTAACATTAGAGCCCAAATACAATTTCAGGGTCACCAACCCTGCCCTGAATTGTAACCTCCTGTGCTTGAAACAAGTTGCAGATTCTCATTGCTTTGAAGTTGCTCTATAATAATTATATTTGTCAGTTATTGATACAGAATTGACAAGTAATATTAAATATTTTTAGTAGTTATACCTCGAATGCATGCAGTGTGTCCAATCCATTTAAAAACATATAGCATGCCTTGGCAGTTCCACACTTGGGTCTGGATGTTTACATGGCATGACAATTCATCAACAGAGTTGCAACTTGGTCACAGATCCATCCTTACCCTGGAGATAGGATTGTTGCAGGAAACTTGACAGCTTTCTCTGGTCTGGATGCTGTGAAGATTATTAAAAGTGTCATTGACAATGATGCAGCCTTGATACAGCTCCAGGGCCATACTGCCCCCCCTAGAGTTCCGAACGGGTCGGGTTAACCCGAGTGACCCACGGGTTATGACCCGTTCGGGTCGGATCGGGTTGGGTTGACCATATTTCGGGTCGGATCATGAATTTGATTTGACCCGCGGGTCGTACGGGTCACACGGGCCCAATATGCCGAATGACATGACCCTTGTTTTATGCCGTATCATGTGCCATATGCAATACGTAACCCTTGTCTTATTATTAATTATTTTATTAATATTAATATTGATATGGCCAAAAAAACACTAGCTGATAAATAC